CCCCCCCCCCCCCCCAACCAACTTTGCTCTCTGTCCCCTCACTGTCTTACCCCACCGCCAGCGGCTGAGTGGTCAGTCCTCCCCACCCTACTCTTCAATCTTTGCCATCCCTCCCTCCCCTGCTCTTTCTGCTTTCCTACTCTGTCTTTAGAGAGCTGCCTCCTTTAGCTGCTGCTCTCCTCCATCCAACTCCCCCCACCCCCAAAAAAAATCCCAAACCAGCCAAAACCTTTAGTGGAGGGTTTTTAAAGAGGAGTCTGATTCCTGTATTCAGTAGCACAAATGGACCTTTATTTGAAGCTCCTTGACCACATGTATGGGAGGGGTCAGAGACTGCTCTGAATCAGGCTTTCACATGGGGCCCACTTTCCCTTTTAAATACGGCTCAGATCGGAGGCTAGTGACACTCTACCTTTCTCAATAAAGGACAAGATATTTATACTTGCTGCGTTACAATGGTTATGCAACGTTGCTGGCTAGATTGGCACTGCATCCACAAACATCCACTCCCTCCACCACTGACCCTCAGTCGCAGCAGTGTGTACTATCTACAAGATGCACTGCAGAAATTCAGCAAAGATCCTCAGTCAGCACCTTCCAAACCCACAACCACTTCCATCTGGAAGGACAGGGGCAGCAGATACATGGGAACACCACCATGTTCAAGTTCCCCTCCAAGCCACTCACCGTCCTGACTTGGAAATATATCGCCGTCCCTTCACTGGGTCAAAATCCTGGAATTCCCTCCCCAACAGCATTGAGGGTCAACCCTACAGCAGGTGGACTGCAGCGGTTCAAGGAGGCAGCTCTCCATCACCTTCACAGGGGCAACTGGGGACAGGCAAGAAATGCTGGGCCCAGCCAGCGACACCCATGTCCCACAAATGAATAAATAAAATTTAACGATTGACATCCGTGTGTGCTACATCCTCTCTGAACAACACATTCAATCCTGTGACTACAACATCAACGATGGGCAACTTTATGGTCTGCCTTGGGCCCTCCTGCCATCTTGTGATGTTTCCCAGAACCCCCCCACCTGTCCTTGGGATCCTATGATTATTGACCACTTTCCAATACCGCTTGTTGTGTACCTTCCTAGACATTTCCCAGCCACATTGTAAACTTGCTTATTACTCGTGACTTTACAAATTCGGCCATGCAATTCATATCCCTTGCTGACCTTAGTACAGACGATTTAAAAAGGATGTTAATTTCTACCAGTTGTTATAATATTTGTAATATCAGCTATGAGGTAAAGTTACTTATACATAATTAAACCTGATAGAATGATTCTGTGATTAAGCCAATGATTTCGGGAGCAGCTTCCCTCATCAACTTGCAAAGTGGCTGTTGTTTATTCTCTCAAGGTCATAGCGACCCTGTTTCAAAATTGTTTCTGCTCCACCCGCAACATTACTTGTCTCTTGGTACTGTTATGAGGTTATTTTGGTTATACCTTTTTTTTTGTTGTTCTAATCTTGCTGACAGAGAAAAAGTTTCTTTAAGGGTGTCTGTGCAACCGAGGCTAACCACCTTCGGAAATTTTAATCCCCCAAAATCTAATAAATTTAAATTTCTTTTTATTATTCGACGAATATGTATCTACTCTGTAATATGTAATCGTAATTATTTTAAAAAGCTGCATCTCAGGCTGGGCTAGCTTTTCCTTTCGATTTCATAGAAAAATTGGAAATCTCAAATCAGATGGTTTTCATCAGAGCTGCCTTATTAAAGGCTTGCTGTCTACATTCTAGTCCCATCTTACTAAGACTCAAAGGCATTTTGTTGTCTGGTTGTGAAGATTTGAGCTACATGCAGTGCTGCATCAGCTAAAATTTCCTTAGATTGTCTATGTCTGTTTAGAAAAAAAAAAAATCCCTAATAGACATTTTGTCATATGACATTTTGTCATATTCGGCCATGGCTAACTGCAGCAACCTTTCCCAATTTCCAAGAAATGCCCTTGGATTTTTGCAGACTGTAATCAGTCTGCACATATGTTGCCCCATCTTCGCATTCCCGTATTCCCCATGCCAGAGGTGTACGAGATGATGAGGGAGCACCGCAGAAGAGACACTGAGTAGGTCTGTGTGGGTAAGGAGTCTAAAATGTGGGCACAGACTTAACATAAAGGTCCAATCATCTAGACCTGAAACAAGGAGACATCTCTTCACTTAGAGGGTTGTGAGTCTTTGGGTTCCTCTACCCCAGAACAATGTGGATCATTGAATATATTTAAGGCTCAAGGTTTGTTTAGGCTTAGAGTCGTGCAGCATGGAAAAGGACCCTTTGATCCATCTTGTCCATGCTGATCAAGTTTCCCAAACAAAACTAGCCCTATTTGCCTGTGTTTGGCCCATTTCCCTCTGCACCTTTTCTATTCATGTACCTGTCCAAATGTCTTTTAAATGTAACTGTACCTGCACCTACCACTTTCTCTGGCAGTTCACTCAACATATGAACCACCGTCTGTGTGAAAATGCTGCCTGTAAGGTCCCTTTTGCATCTTACCCTCTCACCTCAAACCTATGCCCTCCAGTTTTGAACCCCTGCACCCTGGGGAAAAGACCTTGGCTATTCACCCTATCCATGCCCCTCATGATTTTGTAAACCTCTATAAAGGTCACCCCTCAACTTCCTACGCTTCAGTGAAAAACATCCCACCCTATCCTGGTGTGCGTATGGAATGAGCTGCCAGAGGAAGTGGTGGAAGCAGGTACATTTGCAACATTTAAAAGGAATCCGGATGGATACATGAGTAGGAAGGGTTTAGAGGGATATGGGCCAAATGCTGGCAAATAGGTCAGATTGGGATGTCTAGACAGCATGGATGAGTTGGACGGAAGGGTCTGTTTCCATGATCTATGACTTTATGGTTTTATCCAGCCTCTCCAGTCCCGAAATTGAGGAATACAGGGAATTGAAGGAGAATTGGAGGCCAATGATCAAATGTGAGAGTTTTGGATGTTAGAACATTTTCAAAGGGTCTAACTCCTTTTATTTCCTGTGATGGCTATGTTGAGGGAGAAATATTCTTTGGCTGTGTTGTGTATTTTCCCGGCTGTTTGTTTGTTTGTTTGTTTATTTAGTTGCTGTTGCTGTTTCTCTTCAGGGATGCTGCTGGCCATTCTGGAGAAGTGTGGAGCTATTCCCAAAATCGACTCGCCAGAGTTCTATGTGGGTGAAGGGACCGTCGCTGCGGGATACCAGAACTTCATCATTTGCATTGAGATGTTCTTTGCAGCCATTGCACTGCGCTATGCTTTCACATACAAAGTTTATGCAGACAAGCGAATTGACTCGCAAGGTAAAATCAAAGCATCTGCTAACGTTTTACCTATGGGGTGATCTGTGTTATGTCAGAAGTGAAAATAATTGAATGAAACGGTTGGTAACAAAGTGCCAGAGTTAGGAAGAAACAAACAAACTCCTCAGTCAGTCCCTTTGTAATTTCCATAACAGCGAGCGTCCGATTCAGTTTTGCTTTAATAAATTTGGAAACCGCTTTTGTGGAGGTTTAAACAGCCCACCCACTCATTCACACGTCGATCCATCCATCCACCCACCCTCACATCCACCCGCGCGCGCACGC